AAGACATGAGCGAAGACCTCACCAAATTTTAAGTTAAAGTATGATGTAATGAATTGTACTTACCCATAAACAGATATACTTACCGTATTGCTTTCCAATACTTACCCACCATGAATTTACTTACTTACAAACTTTACTGGCGTAGACACAGCTTACGCGATTATAGCCTATTTACAATTGTGCGCCATTCGTTTCTTCTTTTCGCTGTTTGGCGCCATTTGGAAATACTAAGTATAGCCAGTTACTTCTCTACCTAGTCTTTCCAACGGAGTGGAGATCTTCCTCTTCCTCTGCTTCCACCGGCGGGTACTGCATCGAAAACTTTCAAAAGTGAAGTACTCCCACTCATGCGGACTACATTACGTAGCCAGCGTAGATGCTGCTTCTTGATTCGCTGAACTATGCCAATGATGCCGTATAGCTCGTGCAAAGTGCAAAGGACCATAAATTTAACTCAAAACCTTTCTCTCGAAAACTCCTAACACCGTCTCATCGGATATTATCATCGTCCATGCTTCCGCACCAAATAGCTGGACGGGAACGATGAGGGACTTATAGAGTTTGGTTTTCGTTCGTCTGGAGAGGACTTTACTTTTCAATTGCCTACTCAGTCCAAAGTAGCACCTATTGGCCAGAGTGATTCTGCGTTGGATTTCAAGGCTGACACTTAATATTAGTGTTTATGCTGGTTCCTAGATAGACGAAATTATCTACGACTTCAAAATTATAACTGTCAACAGTGACGTGGGAGCCAAGTCGCAAATGGATGACTGTTTGTTTGATGACAGGAGATATTTCGTCTTGTCTTCGTTCACCCATTCGCTTCGCTTCTTTATCAAGCCTGGAGAAAGCAGAACTAACGGCGCGGTTGTTGATTTCGATAATGTCAATATCATCGGCGTACGCGAGTAATTGTACACTCTTATAGAAGATTGTAACTTCTCTATTCAGTTCTGCAGCTCTTATTGTTCAAATCAGCATCAAATTAAAGAAATCACACGACAAGGAGTCACCCTGTCTGAAAGCTCGTTTGGTAACAAACGGCTCGGAGAGGTCTTTCCCAATTCTGACTGCGCTTCTGGTGTGGTCTACCGTCAGCTTAAGCAGCCGTATAAGTTTTGTGGGGTACCAAATTCAGACAAAGCGACGTAAAGGCAGCTCCTATTCGTGCTGTCGAAGGCGGCTTTAAAATCGACGAAGAGGTGGTGGGTGTCGATCCTCTTTTCACAAGTCTTTTCCAGGATTTGTCGCATGTTGAATATCGGGTCAATGGTTGACTTACCAGGTTTCAGGCCACACTGATAAGTTCCAATCAGTTTATTGACAGTGGGCTTCAGTCTTTCACAGTGGACAGGATCTTATAGGTGATATTAAGGAGGCTTATCCCACGCTAATTGGCGCAGACTTTGGGGTCCCCTTTTTATGGATTGGGCAGATTACACTTAAATTCCAATCGTCGGGCAAGCTTTCGTGCGACCATATTCTGCAAAGTAGCTGATGCATGCACCTTGTCAGCTCTTGCCGCCATGTTTGAATAGTTCTGCCGATAGGTCGCCAGCTCCCGCCGCTTTGTTGTTTTTTAAGCGGGCTATTGCTATTCGAACTTCTTCATGGTCAGGTAATGGTACGTCTGTTCCATCGTCCGCGATTGGGGTGCCGGGTACACCTTCTCCGGATTCTCCATTTTCCATACTATAGAGCAGGTTGGAGAGGTATTCCCTCCATAAATTTAATATACTCTGGGGATCAGATCACCTCTTTGTGTCCTACAAGAGTTTGCTCCGGTCTTCAAACCTTCTGTAAGTTGTCTTATCTTCTCGTAGAATTTTCGAGCCTTACCATTGTCGGCAAGCTTCTCAAGCTCTTCATACTCACGCATCTCGGCCTCTTTCTTTTTTTTGGCTGCAGATGCGTCTTACTTCCCTCTTCATTTCTTGGTCTCTATCCCGTCGCGCACGTGTTGTGATCGATCGCAAGGTTGCGAAGTAGGCAATCTGTTTTCTCTCTACTGCGACACGGCAGTCCGCATCATACCAGCTGTTTTTGCGACCTTCACGAAATCCAATAGTTCCGTTTGCAGCTGTATGTAGGGAGCTTGAAATTCCGTCCCACAGTTCCCGTATACCGAGTTGCTGACGAGTGCTCTCAGAGAGCAGGACAGATGCAGCTTTTCTACGTCGAACTTTTCTTGTGTTTGTGGACGGGAGCTCTTCGATACACAGAGGCGCATGCGTATCTTTGCTGCAACAAGTTAATGGTCCGAGTCGATGTTGGGTCCTCGGAGTGTACGCACCTCAAGAACACTGGGTACATGCCTTCCGTCTCTCACAACATGATCGGTCTGGTTTTGTGCTTTTCGATCAGGGGACAACCAAGTAGCTTGATGTATTTTTTTGTGCTGGAATCTAGTACTACAGACAGCCATATTTCGGGTCCCGCAAATATTTCGTTGTGAGGCCTGAATTGTCCAACAGTCGAACCAAAGATACCTTCTTTGCCCACCCTGGCATTAAAGTCGCCAAGTACGATTTTCACACCGTGTCGGGGCAGCGCTCGTAAGTATGCTCTAGGCGCTCATAAAAGCCATCTTTGGCCAAATTGTCCTCTCTTCCGTCGTGGGGTGGGCGCAAATCAGCGATATGTTAAAAATTTCGCTTTGATGCGAAATGTGGCGAGACGCTCATCCACTAGGGTGAATGCCAGTACTCGACGACGGAGTCTCTCCCACCACAAATCCAACACCTAATTTACGGTCGTTTATATGGCCACTGTAGTCGGCCTTTATTCTTACGAGGACATCAGCCAGCTGGGCAGCGACACCTTTCCAATTAAGGGTCCGGACATTCCACGTGCATGCCCTCAATTCCTGATCCCTATTTCGTTTGCGGGGGTCGTCAACAGAAAGGGGGTATCTAATCCGAGGCGTTGTTATAATATTAATCGGAGCTGGTTTCTACCTAGCGGGCCCCAAACCCAGTGCACAACCTCGCTAGAAGAGTAAATTTTTTTTTTACACATTTATATGGCGAGCCGCTTGCTTCAAGACCGACGCCCGCTCGCAGCCGCACCTCTGGTGATCTGACGTTGCAATTAGACTTCAGCAGACCCTTAAACCGAATAAGTCGGGGTGGCTCCACTGAAGCTTCCTCTCTCGCTAGTCGTGACCCAAGGCTCCACACGAGTTGACTACCGTAACTTGCACAAGGATTGCTCACGTTTCCAGGGCGACGTGGACGCAACTGTAACAGCATACCCAGAAGCGTGACTACACTACATTTACACACTCCCAATTAAAATACTCAACAGAAAACCTACTTCCGTTACTACTCTTAAAGACACAAAATTATCTGAATAAATGTGTATGTGATGAATTATATTTCTTCGCTCGCTTTAAAACAGACGGCTGTGTCCGTAAAATAACAATAAAGGAATTTAAAAATTTTTTTAGGCGATTTTCGGCCGAGATCCTTCTCCAATTTGCGGTTTTGCGCTTTGATGTTTTTCCAACATATGGAGGGACCAACAGTTTATATTAAGCCGCCCCCAAACGGCTAGTGATTTTTTTAGAGGAGCCCTTATTTTATGTCCGAAATACACTCGGAGGGGTGGACATTCCCTGCTAAGGAGCGACCGCAATAAGAAAATTTATCTTAATTTTTAATTTAAATTAATTTTCTAAAACTTTTCCATGTTGATCGCAAGAAATTTGAACCCGAGCCTTCCGAATGGCAGTACGCAATGCTAACCACTCGGCTACCACGCCCACTATATGAACACACACGCAAAGGAAAAAGTGCCCTTTTTCTTTCTTAACTATGTAAATAAATTATGTACAGCAAGTAGCCGATTTATACACTGAGATTTGTCAAATTTTTAAAGCGCTTCGTGTGGCACGGAAGATTATGTAATGAGGGCGAAAAAAACAGTAAAAGAAAAGTGTTCATTAAGTTTGGATAAAAAAAAATCATACCACTCCGTCACCAATGCTTTCCCGTCGGTTTCCAGTATCCATGCATTTAAAGATGCAGACTTGGTGCTACGAAAATTAAAACATTTATTAATAGTTTTGTTGTCTGAGACGGAGATGAAATTAAGAAACGTTAGGCTGAGTGACATGTTGCATTTCAGATCTATAAAGCGGGAAGTTTAAAGATTAAATTTTCATGTACAAAAAATAAAATCAGTAAAATAATATCCTCACAATAAATCTTATTCCGAAAGGATTTAACTTGAATTCAATTTGCACATAAAATGCTATCAATAACGTTAATTTCTTGAAGATAACGAGTATTAATGTTTTCTGGAGGTCAGTCTTAAGTGGAAGGCTGCATGGCTAAAATGTCAAATACGAAGAGAGATGCCGATAAAAAAAGTGTTTTCTGGTGCGCGAATCGAATGTTCATATGAAGATCCCATTCCTTTATGCGAGCAGTCTTTAGTATGCGCAGTGAATATTTTGGGCCCCCTTATTGTTGTTTGTGTTCGCAACAATCCACAATCGAGTAATCTACATATCATTTTATGTTTGCCATCAAACGAGCTCCTAAGACATGTATGTCGTTACCTTTTGATCAAATAACTTAGAAGTTTCATCAGTGTGGCAAAAAATCAGTATAACTTGCCCGATGAATGGCAAACTTGTTCTATGATAGTGAAAGCTTTCTCTACTCGAGAGTTATTAAGCTAAAAAATAATCATGTCATTAACAGATCGTTCTGCAGCAGATAACCACAACAAAAGCTTGCAACCTAAGATAGGGTTAATATATACACTTCTATATACAAACATATACATACATATTTAAAGACGCTTGTATAGTATTATTATAGTAGTATTATATTTTTTTAACTTCATTTTTAATTAAGACTACATACATTTCTCAAAACTTTAGTTTTTAGTTTGTATATAGAAAATAAATTTGCCATCGCTATACCATTATTACCACCCTAAAGTCGGTAAATGTACTTTTTGGCAAATTAGGTGCGGAACTGAAATATGGGTCATCTTGTCAAATATATTATTTTTCACAACTGCATACATATTTTATGCTATATGTATATTTGTATACTCAGGATTTGAAACACAATCAAGTTTAGTAATGACTTTGCTAAAGCCAGTTTTAAGCCACAATTGTATCTGTTTATCGATTTTTGGTGCTTTTTATGCATAACGCTTATATATTTCGTTATTTTGTACGGTTATAAGTAATTTAATTTTAGTCATTATGGTGTGCGTTATTTACGAACAAAGACATTTTTCGGAGAATAAAATAAATGTCTAATGTGTACATTGAAAGGAAAAAAACAAGGTTTAAAATTAATATAAAAATCTGCTTTTGGTCTTATATTTTTTTTAGACCATAAGAATTGGTTGTGCTGAAAAAAATCAAGTTGGTAAATAGCGGACACCCTGACATACATAAATTTGTGAGTACATGCATAAGCCTTGAGCGCTTTGGGTTGATAAACAAATGCCAACAGTTATTTCAGCTTCACTTACCAACAAGAAGCCAGACGCAATCAAGACTCTTTATCAGACGGACGCACAAAAGTTCAATTATTAAAAATAAAACCTGACATTCCAATACATCTTGTAGCGTATTATCAAATGTTTGCTAGTTTTGGGTTAAGTTGGATATTGTTGCTAGGTGTCAATTTTACAATTATCATTGGTACGAGTGAAGCCACAGGCGAAGCAACTAGTATTTCACTATACGCTAGCTCTCCCGAATTTAGGTTTAATAAAAGTGGAATAAATGTGCAACAAGAAGTACGCCCTTCGTCGACCTCTATCGGGCTTTCAGATTTCAGTTTCGAGACCCCTTTCCCAGTAGCCCTCACCCATTCCTTGAACGAGAATGCCCTAACACACGGCAGTGGAAGTGTTGGCGTAGGCTTTGTCGAAAAGAATGTTGTTGAGTCGTTAACAGCAGAGAATCGGAACGAAGCTTTTCAAATTGTAAACGAGTGGAAGTATTTAGACTTCGATTATCCAACTTATACACAACGCCAAGAAGCTATTTCAAATAGGTGAGTCAGGTGAAAGCCATATACTATGTTATATATGTATGTATAGCAAAGACAGAAAACAACTGGCCTAATTACATAGGTGTAGAACATTGCAATTCAGTTAATGTTATTGAAAATATATCAGTGCTTAATGGTATGTAAAGTTTTCTGTATTTCTACTTGTGATGGACTTTTTATTTATTCTTTACTTTTTAGTTTTTATATGACTTTCACGGAAAATACGAGTATAATGCATTCGATGAACTGTCTAATGGATATAATAATTTGATAAAGGCAGCTTCATTTCTCTCAATCGAGTATCTTGGTGTAGAATACTACCACAATTTAGGCGATAAGAAAAGACCCAACCTATCTGCACAAGCTCTGTGTGTGCGTTGCACCAGAGATACCTTAACATTTTGACACTTGCGGTATAAGTGCAATACCTTTGTATTGCCAGAGTAATACATCATAAAATAATTGTTTTGTTTAATTAACAAACATATTTTTATAAATATGAACATGTAGAGGGTGCTCTATATTTTATGTCGGTTTGTAAGCGTTGAACAACTTTTACATTTACCTACCGAGGGATTGCATCAGATATGTTTTGGAAACGTCAATTCAGTACAATTTTTGTCATGAATCGATGGAGCACCGTGTATGTTTGCGGGAATCAGCGAAATCAAATCATAAAAACACTGAGAACTCAAGAGTGTTTCCTCCCCTGGCAATGAAATTATTATTATGTATTTGCAAGCCATTCGGAGTGCTCGGGTTCAAATGGTGGTGTCGTCCTAACACCAAAATGTTAAAGAAAATTCATTTGAATAAACAATTAAGCAAAATATTCTAATTACAGTAGCTCTTTTGTGGGAAATGTCAAACCCTCCGAGTGTATTACTGACGTGAAATAAGGGCTCCTCACAAAAAAAAAAATATCAAGACGCCAAACCACAAATTGGAGGAGGAGCTCGGCCAAAAATCGCTTCTGTGGTTACAAAGCCCCTTTAATATATATATAAGGTTTTCAAATATTTCCCTTCCGCTTTTTTGCGCTTCATTCAATGCTTTATAAAAAGTGTTACAGTGATCGGACTTAGTTAAAATATGCGTCGTTTTGTTCAATGATCTGTTTCCATCTAGACGGCAACTTCCTAACACCGTCCTCGTAGAAGCCCCCCTCCTTATTTGCGAAGAATTCGGACAGCCACTTTTCACAAATTCAAAAGACAAAAAAGCGGAAGGGACATATTTGACAACCTATTATATATATAATACTAGCAGACCCAGCGAACTTCGCCTCGCCTTTATATTACATTAAGGGTGATAATAGAAGATATGTAGGCAGTGAATGTATATTGTTTGAATGAATTCAATCAACAGAAAGCAATATGGTAGTAAAGAAGCAAGAACAAAAAACAAAGATGGTTGACGCGAACATTGACGATTGTTATAAAATTACTTAAATTAAACCAAGCGGTTTCAGATCGGAAAAATAATCCAATCCATTAAACCATAAATAATATTAATAAAAATCAGTTCCTGCATTTTATTTTAAACAATAAGCTACCAACAAATTAAATTTTTAATGAATGGAATAGTAGCTAAGATTATCTCGCATGAATTCTTTCCCGAGAATCTCTCAATAAAGTTTAATTTTGTTTCGGTCCAGCCGTAATAAATTCAGGGTATACCCATAAATTGTTTTCAACATAAGGGTTTTTAATTCGGCGAAATATCATATGTAAAAAAATTAATTACATGTCTCGCCCTGGGTAATTTTTTCTCTCACTTGGATACAATATATCTGTATAATTCATTGAAATGACGCTATGCATTTGCTCGGCTTTTACGCACGTAAATTCATGGAAGCGGATCCCGCATGCCCGGGCGAGTCTTCGAACAAAGCTTCTGCTTAAGTCAACAAATGATCATCAGTCGGGTTATGGAATGGACCAAGCCAACCAAATGTCTGTTCGGTGACCTTTGGTCCAGTTCCGAGCATTTTTATATATTAATCCAAGCCAAAGAAACGATTACTCTGAAAAGATCCGTCCTAGGTACCTTTCCTGGAAACAAAAGTAATATTCCCGCTAAACTAAGTAAAAGTCTACCTATGTATCAAATTTCAAGGAAATCGACCCACAAATTCAAATTTTTCGAAGGGATCAGTCACATTCTCGGTGTGAAAAATAGACTTTATGTATCTTAGACCTACTGAATTTGCACAAGAGCTGCGGCGGCGAGCGGGCGTCTGTCTAAGCGGGTCGCTTTATAATGGGTAAAAACTGGAAAACTAACTCGCCCAGCAAGGTTGTGCGCTAGGCTTGGGACCCGCTGGTCGAGGCTTTCACTAAACTAAATGATGACATCACGGCCCTAGAAGTACGATGGACGGGACAAAGACAATAACGAGTAGGTTCTTCTGACATCTACTAAAGCTGCCATATAAAGGAGCGCAAATTTCGTGTGGGATTTGTGGTGGGTAAGAAACTCCGTCCTCGTGTACTGGCATTTACTCCGCTGGAGGAACATCTCGCACACTATCCGCAACAAGGCGAAATTTTTCAAACAAAATAACAATTTTGCGCCTACGCCCCGACGAAAGAGAAGTACGATTTGGCCAAGCGCCTGGAGCGCCTGGAGCATACTTACGTTAGCTGCTCCCAACACGATGCCAGGGTGGGCAAAGAAGGAATCTTTGGCGCGACTGTTGAAAAAATCAGCCTTCACAACGAAACTTACCTTAATGGGTTGAGATTGATCAACTTTGTCGAGGTCCGAAATATGGTTGTCTGTAGTACAAGATTCCAGCACAAAAAAATTCATCTAGCAACTTGGTTGTCTCTTGATTGACCAGATCGATCATGTTGTGATAAACGAAAGACATATCTCCAGTGTTCTTGACTTGCGTACACACCGAGGACCCAACATCGACTCGAAGCACTATCTTGTCGCAGCGAAGATACGCATGCGCCTCCTGCTATTCAAGAACACCCTTCAACAAACACGAGGAAAGTTTGACGTCGAAAAGATGCAATCACAGCAGATTGCTGAACGGTGTTCTACTCAACTTGCACTCTGCTCTCTGAGTGCAAACATCATCAATCCGATATAAGGAAACTATCAAGTGGCATATCTTCTTAAGCACAGCTGCAAATAATATTATTGAATTTCGTAAAGGTCGCAAAAGCAGCTGGTACGATGAGGACTGCCGCAACTCTCACGACAGCCGTTTCTACGCACCGGAGTTGACCCGGCCAAGGGCTGTCACCCTTAAGGCGACCTAACCCCGTTTAGGTTTACAGGTAACCTTAGTCTAAGTTCGCCGACCTCGCAGCTGGGTTGCTCCAAATCCTTCTTTTCAGGGCTGGTGTAGAAACCAACCCTGGACCGACGGATTACTTCTGCCGCGTGTGTCAAAGAAGACTCCACCACTCATCCACCTCGGTTAGATGCACCCAGTGCAATGGTTGGAGTCATCTTAAGACCTGCTCAGGCCTTAAGACCCACAGGGAATGGACCACGAGTTAAGTGGCCCCATGCTGCCAGCGTCCAACCGCCCCCCCAGCCTCTACGGCAGTGCCTTCAGCACACATACCCACTCTGGGTAATCTGCAGTCCTTCACGGTCTTACGGATCTCCCCGCAGCATGATTCTCTCCAACCTCCACCCCCTTCTTCACCCACAACCAGCTCCTCATCCTCCTCCCGTGCGAGGGCTACCCAGCAGCTCCTAGTCCCCCGCACCATCTTTTCCGTGTGTCAGACCATAGTGCGTCGGAACGTGACCTCAGTCAGATGCAACTCCTGCTCTAGCTGGTGTCACTTTCGGACGTGCTCTGGCCTGCGCTCCACCCGTGAGTGGAGCGATGCGTATGTTGCCCCATGCTGAAGGAGTCTGCCCCTGCATGTCTCTACAAACCCTCCGCCACACGAATGTGCGGAACCAACTCTCGCGGGTAGTACAGCAGCAACACACACCATCCACGCATCACTCCCTCACCCCCCGAATCACGAACGTTCCCCCGAGACAGACCCGACTTCTACAATTTAATTGCAACGGACTCCAGGGAAAGATTGACGAGATAGTCGACTATATGAGCCGGAAACACCTGTCAATAGCTGCGAACAGGGCCGGATACAACATAGACCGCAAGGATCGCGAGCGAGACCACGGTGGGGCTTAGCGTTCATCCTGCACAACACCGTGCAGTATTGTCTCATCGATGGCGACATCGACCGCAGATATACTACCCTAGAATGTCAGGGCATAGCTATCCGGTCAGGCGATGTCGAGCTCGAAATATTTAATATATACATTCCTACAGTTACAAGTTGCCCAGCTAGATACACCCCTGACATAGGTGCGCTATTCAGGGGCGAAAACCGTTTGGTTTTGGGCGACTTTAACGCGCATCACGATCTTTGGCACTCTAGCCTGTCAAATGACCGTAGAAGAATGGAGCTGGCGGAACAGATAGACGATTTGACATTCTGCACAATGAACGACAACACCCCACCAGAGTTATGGGTAATTGCCAAAGCTCGCCAGACATAACAATTGCGAGTGCTGGTCTGATAAACAATATAGTCTGGCGACCTACACTGACGTTAGCATCGGACCACTTGCCCATACATATCTCGATTGACAGGCCTCCCGACTTTGTTTCCGCGGACCACCGGACATTCGTTAACTTCAAAAAAGCTAACTGGTCCGGATTCACGGAATTTACCGAGAACGCCTTTAGTGCTCTTCCCACTCCAACTGACGTCACCGCTGGTGAACGCTCATTCCGCAGGGTCGTCGTGACCGCTGCCGCCCGCTTCATCCCGGCAGGCCGAATCGCGGAAATCCGCCCAAATTTTCCGACAAAAGCGGCGATACTAGCAACCAGGCGCGACACCCTCCGAAGTTCCGATCCCGGGAATCCCCTAATCAGGGATTAAAACGAGGAGATTCGAAGAGTTATTAACAGTCATAAGGGGAAAAAGTAGAAGGAGCACCTTAGGACCTGC